ATAGACCCACAGACTCGCACAGATAAACCCACAGACTCACACACCCACAGACTCACATAGACACCCATATAGACCCACAGACTCGCACAGATAAACCCACAGACTCACACAGACACCCATATAGACCCACAGACTCGCACAGATAAACCCACAGACTCACACACCCACAGACTCACACAGACACCCATATAGACCCACAGACTCGCACAGATAAACCCACAGACTCACACAGACACCCATATAGACCCACAGACTCGCACAGAGACACCCACAGACTCACACAGACACCCATATAGACCCACAGACTCGCACAGATAAATCCACAGACTCACACACCCACAGACTCACACAGACACCCATATAGACCCACAGACTCACACACCCAGACTCACACAGACACCCATATAGACCCAGACTCGCACAGACACACCCACAGACTCACACAGACACCCAGAGACTCACAGAGACAAGCAGACTCAGACACCCATATAGACCCACAGACTCGCACAGATAAACCTACAGACTCACACAGACACCCATATAGACCCACAGACTCACACACCCACAGACTCACACAGACACCCATAAAGACCCACAGACTCGCACAAAGACACCCAGACTCACACAAACACCCATATAGACCCACAGACTCACACAAAGACACAGACACACACACCACTCGCACACTCACACGTCTGAACCCCGGCTAATGTGGGAGCCGCAAGCCCCCACCACAATACTCCCTGCCATATCCTGCCCCTGCCCCCCCTCAACGCTACGATGACATTAAAGTTTTAAAGTTGCCGTCACAATTGTGAATGTAATTGTGCCGCTACAGGCTGAGACACAGGCACAGAGAGAGAGAGGCACAGAGAGAGATCAATCCTTTCGCGAGGCCTGTATGGAAAAAAAATCAACATCGTTGGGGTTACAACACACAAGAGACAAACCACACATTGTCCTCCGAATGCCCTTTGATGGCAATGCCCCCCACCCCCCTCCCACTCCTCCTCCTGCCCTTTGATTTGTCAAGCATTTCAGTGCCCTTTGTAGCTACATTCAATGCCATCAAATCAATGCCCTCTAGGGGTTAATGTACCATTTAGAATGCCCTTTTGTATCAATATCCATTCACAATGCCCTTTGGTTTCATACCATTTCAATGCCCTTTGTAGCAACATTTCAAACAATGCCCTCAGAGGGCGCTGTACAATTTAGAATGCCCTTTGCATCAATATCCGTTCACCATGCCCTTTGGTTTGATTACATTTCAATGCCCTTTGCAGATCAATTTTAATCAATGCCCTTTTGGGTTTCTGTACCATTTAGAATGCCCGTTTGCATCAATATCCATTGACCATGCCCTTTGGTTTCATACCATTTCAATGCCCTTTGTAGATGAATTTTAATCAATGCCCTTTTGGGTTTCTGTACCATTTAGAATGCCCGTTTGCATCAATATCCATTGACCATGCCCTTTGGTTTCATACCATTTCAATGCCCTTCGTCGCTACATTTCAAACAATGCCCTCAGAGGGAGCTGTACAATTTAGAATGCCCTTTTGCATCAATATCCGCTCACAATGCACTTTGCAGATCAATTTTAATCAATGCCCTTTTGGGTTTCTGTACCATTTAGAATGCCCGTTGCATCAATACCCATTGACCATTGCCCTTTGGTTTCATACCATTTCAATGCCCTTTGTAGCAACATTTCAAACAATGCCCTCAGAGGGCGCTGTACAATTTAGAATGCCCTTTGCATCAATATCCATTCGCAATGCCCTTTGCAGATCAATTTCAATCAATGCCCTTTTGGGTTTCTGTACCATTTAGAACGCAGTTTGCATCAACATCCATTGAGCATGCCCTTTGGTGGTTTCATACCATTTAATGCCCCTTTGTGGCTACATTTTAATCAATGCCCTCCAGGATTTCTACAATTTAGAATGCCCTTTTACATCAATATCCGTTCACAATGCCCTTTGGTTTGGTACAATTTCAATGCCCTTTGTACATCAATGTGAATCAACGCCCTCTAGGATTTGTACCATTTAGAATGCCCTTTGCATCATCATCGATGTCCATGCCCTTTGGTTTCATACCTTTTCAATGCACCTTCATAGCGACATTACAAACAATGCCCTCTTGGGTTTCTGTACCATTTTGAATGCCCTTCGCATCAATACCCATTGACCATGCCCTTTGGTTTCATACCATTTCAATGCCCTTTGCAGATCAATTTTAATCAATGCCCTTTTGGGTTTCTGTACCATTTTGAACGCCCTTTGCATCAATATCCGTTGACCATGCCCTTTGGTTTCATACCATTTCAATGCCCTTTGTAGATGAATTTTAATCAATGCCCTTTTGGGTTTCTGTACCATTTAGAATGCCCTTTGCATCAATATCCGTTCACAATGCCCTTTGCATCAATATCCATTGACCATGCCCTTTGATTTGTATTCATTTCAATCCCCCTCCCTTCGTAGCTCCAACAATTTCAGAATGCCCTCCTACACCCACCCTTTGGGCTTAATGTCATTCAGCAATGCCCCTTGCGATAAGAATGCCCAAACTCATCCCCTTTCGAAAGTCCAAACGTCCTCAACATGGCCACCGTTCTTGGCGTCAATGTCCTTCCAACCAATGCAGATTTAGTTCAATCCGAATGCCCTTTGTCTCAACACCACAATGCCCTTTTCATTCGCCCCAAGCACAGACACAGACCCTCCAAACACCCCCTCGTCAACCCAATGCCCCCTACTGCTTAAACTAAAACATATTTCCAGCAATGCCCTTTGCAGATACAATTGTCTCGGATTTATTTCAATCCGAATGCCCTTTGTCTCAACACAAAAATGCCCTTTTCATTCGTCCAGAGAGAGACAAACCCATACCACCACCCCCCTCTCAAACCAATCCCCTCTCTCTACACTAAACACCATCTCCAGCAATGCCCTTTGCAGATTCTCAGATTGAGTTCAATCCGAATGCCCTCTGCCGTAACACCAATGCCCTTTCAATTCGTCACGAGCACAGAGAGAGACCCATACCACCACCCCCTCCTCCTCAAACCAATGACCCCTTCTCCTCCTCACACTAGAAACCATCTCCAGCAATGCCCTTTGCAGATTCTCAGATTGAGTTCAATCCGAATGCCCTCTGCCGTAACACCAATGCCCTTTTAATTCGTCACGAGCACAGAGAGAGACCCATACCACCGCCCCCTCCTCCTCAAACCAATCCCCTCTCTTTACACTAAACACCATCTGCAGCAATGCCCTTTGCAGATTCTCAGATTGAGTTCAATCCGAATGCCCTCTGCCGTAACACCAATGCCCTTTTAATTCGTCACGAGCACAGAGAGAGACCCATACCACCGCCCCCTCCTCCTCAAACCAATGACCCCTTCTCCTCCTCACACTAAAAACCATCTCCAGCAATGCCCTTTGGAGATTCTCAGATTGAGTTCAATCCGAATGCCCTCTGCCGTAACACCAATGCCCTTTCAATTCGTCACGAGCACAGAGAGAGACCCATACCACCGCCCCCTCCTCAAACCAATCCCCTCTCTTTACACTAAACACCATCTCCAGCAATGCCCTTTGGAGATTCTCAGATTGAGGTCAATCCAAATGCCCTCTGCCATAACACCAATGCCCTTTCAATTCATCACGAGCACAGAGAGAAACCCATACCACCACCCCCCCCTCCTCAAACCAATGCCCTTTCTTTACACTAAAAACCATCTCCAACAATGCCCTCTCATCTCTCACCCCCCTCGGATTGTTCAATCTCAATGCCCTTTTCCTCAACACCAACAATGCCCCCCCCCCTCCCCCTTTGGACTCTGCATTCAACGCATGCCCCTCCACCGCTGAGAACATTTGACGCACATAGCCCTCTGCGTATTATTCACGCGGCAAATGCCCTTCGTCCGGAGCCGGCGCTCTTCATCGAATGCCCTTCATCGAATGCCCTTCGTAGAGTATGCAACTCAAGGATGATGCAGTCGGTCCAACCCCCCCCCCCACACCTCAACCCAACCTTCAGAATTGCACTCGCAGCGAAAACCATCATAGACGCAATGCCCTTTGGGCAGCTCCAGTTGAACCAAAAACATTCCCTGCAAATGCCCTTTGCACCGCGGTTTTGTGTTCTTGACAATGCCCTTCTCACCCCGCCC